TATGCTCTTGTTTTTTACTTCCACTGGACATGAAAATTTTATTGGTAGAGGAGCTACCGTCTAGTATTTAAGTTTTTTGACTTACTAGATAAAAAAAAATCCTTTTGGAACTTTTGGGTTCGAATCACCTCTGCGAATTGAAAATAAAGACACCAGATTAAATGTTTTCCAGGAAACCAGAGAATATTTGTCTAAATTAAAAATAAATGGGCAGAATAAATTAAAAGACAGAAGAAAAACTTTTGCTTTTGGGTTACTTTTAGTATCACAAATCTGGCATTAGATCTTTTTAATGAAAACACTCATTTTTTGACTCATAAAAATTTGCAAGATCATTTAGAATTGTTCTTTTCTTGCGTTACAGCCGTGGGCGAACAAATGGTAACCCGGATGCTCTTAATTTATCCGCAAATTACTGGTCAGAAACAATATAAAACCAAGCATCAATAATAATTGTACAGACGAAGATTATAATTCTTCACCTATACTGAAATTTGAAAACTCGAAAAGATCATCATTATCATTGTCTGCCAGCACTGAGAGCGACGAAGAGCAGAGCAAAATTAATACTCTAATACAATTAAAAGAAAAAAAAAAAACATTTCTGATTTCAAAAACACTATTTTGTACTACATATCAGGATATATTGTTGGAAAATTGTGAAATAATATGGCATGTGATGCAAAGCCGCCTTATTAATGAAGACACAAAGCTCATAATAACATCGTTGATATATATGAATTTCCACCTTTCATAACATATGTAGATAGAGATGGTCTTAAGTATATTTCAAATTTGTATTTGATGTAGTAAGTACACCGAAAAAAAAATTGTTACTTTGACATTGCAATCAGAGAACAAATTTAAAAGAAAATATATTATAGATATATGATAAACATAATCACACAACACTTTTATTTACGTTTATGTTGTTGTACAGGTAACAGAATCTAAACATCAATTTGAATTAATAAAATGTTTAACAAATAAATATATCACGATAAAGAGTTATGCTAAAGAGGAAACTATTAAAATTATGGGTAGACACATTTCAATTCGCCAAAGATTGCATAAAAGAATTCTCTTTAAAATCTATAGTTAAGTAAATTATGTTAAAGTACTTTTTGTCATCTTTGCAATTGTGAGTACATAGTTGATTTGTGCATATTAATTAAACTAGATAACATTAAAGATTATTATGATAACATTTGTACTCGTTTTATGTACTACGAAATAAATATCTTAAATAAATAAAATCATTCGTGTTTACTAAAGTGAGAATATCCAAAAACAGCACGGATATACTTAGTCTGGTCATAGAAGCTGTTGATAGAATTAAAAATAAACAAAATAATACTTTCGAATTAAAATATATAATATGATATTTTGTGATATTAAAATGAAGTCGGGCGATAAAGAGAACTATTTACATAAAGTAAATATTGAGCCAAACACAAGTTTCAAAAACCCTCCGTATGCTTGGTACTAGTCAAATACACTACCCACAGAAAGTTTGGAAGCACCCGCAAATTTTGCTACATAAAATAACAACTTTGGTATAACCGATTTTATCTATCGTATGTTGTACTTAAATATGCCATAATTTAAAATCTTTCCATAGTTTTTTTATTAAAGTTGGTGATCATTTCGGGTAAATATTTAAGAAAAATTAAAAAACTATTATTTAACAGACGGGCAGTTTATCGGACAGAAAACGGAGCGGCAGGCCAAAAATCACTTCTGAAGCAGAAGACCGGTTTATTATAACAACCTCGAAGCGAGATCGACGACTTACAGCACCAGACATCACACGGGAGTTGAATAAAACGCGAACAAAAAAGTGTCAGTTTCTACCGTGACGAACCGTTTTTTATCTGCTGGTCTGAAGGGGTGCGTCGCCGCGAAAAAACCATTATTACGACAAGAAGAAACTGTCGTATACTAAATTAAATGGGGTCGTGACGTAGGAAACTTTTCAAAATTCATTGAAGTTGTGAGAGAAAATGTTAAAAATATCGAAAGAAATAGTAGATGAGTATGAAGTTGAAATGAAATTCTGCTTCTCAAAGACATTTTGCCATTCAAGAATGCCATGTACAACAGGTAAAATGGAATTAAGGATCTGAATTTCTCGAGTTCAGAAAATTACGTTATTTTCTATGTATTGATAAAATCTGGGAACATGCCTATAAACACATGCAGTTATCAACTTCAAATGATAAAATTAATTGGTTTATTGACTCCGGAGCATCCATGCACATACTATGAGGAAGGACTGGCTGTATGATCTATTACCAGCACCAGTTACAAGCGTCCGTATCGCCAATGATAAAATACTTGCAGTTGTGGAAAAGTGATTATGTCAGTAACTGATAAAATGGAAAAACTCAAAACATACAAATAAAATCAAATGTGTTATATGTACCGGAGTTGGCAAGTAATATGCTCTCAGTGAGTCAACTTATAAAGAAGGGGCATTCCGTACAGTTTCATGATAATGGCTGAAAAAAAACTCAACAACTCAAAGGAAGACATTTTGTCATGTAAGTTAATAAATAATAATATGCATTGCTTGAACAAAAGTACTGTGACAGCATATGTCAGTAGCTCGGGCGAAAGTGACAGTCACCTGTGGCATCAAAGGCCATCTGAACTTATCTGATCTTAGCAAATTACCTGTGTAGAAGGTGTAAAGATAAGTGAAAAACATGGTATGCGAGTATTGTCATTAAGGAAAACAGTCAAGACTGCCGTTTCCCAAAGAAGGCTCCCGTGCAAAGAAGCTTTTGGAAGTTGTACAATCAGATGTTTGTGTACCATTAGAAGTCAAGAAATTAAAAGAGGAAGAGATTACATGTTCATACACCAAACCAAATATTAGGTCCTTACATGTGAAATTGGCGTTTTGTCATACTGGTCACTTTAATCACGAATTTCTCCTCCTTGGTTGGGAATTCCAAATTCAAATTTATTTACACATCTATTTGTATTTCGTTAGGCGGCATTCATTTGTTTTTTTTTCTTCTGTTAGTCCTATTTACGTCACCCAGTATAAAAAATGGAAAACATGAAATATCGTTTTATTTACGAGTACAAGTTCCACCGTGGTACCAGTGCTGCAGAAACGGTTCGAAGGGTTAATGATGAGTATAGCGGTTGTGTCGCAAAAGAAAACACAGTGCGTTTTAGATTCCAACGTTATCGTTCTGAAAATTTCGACCTGCAAAACAAGCCCCGTGGACGTCCGGAGACCCAAGTTAATAATGAAGAATTGAAAGCTTTTGTGGAAGCGGATCCATCGCAAACCACGTCCGAGTTAGCTGCAGGCTGCGGTGTTAGTGATAAAAAAGTTTTAATCCACTTGAAGCAAATTGGAAAGATTAAAAAGCTTGAAAAGTGTGTACCTCACTGTTATGTATTATCTATGTTTTATATGGCATCTCACAAAACCTTTTTGAACGATGGCAACACAGCCTTCTTCCTTCTCCATTTTGACGACACTAAGCGTGCATTTGTTAATTAATGTTATTTGTAATTAAATTAATAAAGAGCAGTAAATCACAATTTTATAACTTTCATTTGATCACGGTGATCATTGTGTCTCTGAAGGACAGAAGACACATTATTTCTGGCGACGAATATTTAATTGGTAAGAGCAAATATTTTTTCAACGCGTCGTTTTTCAAAATCGTAATGGCGAAACTTACTTTGAAACCCTTTGCCGCGGGTGAGGATATAGTTTGCTTCCTTAAAAGGTTAGAACAATTTTTCACGGCAAATACAGTGGATGAAAGCAAACAAGTAGCCACATTGTTGACAATGATTGATGAAAAGACCTATAAAGTGCTAAAAAGTATTGTGCACCCGGCATTACCCAAAACTAAAATCTACAGAGAATTAGAAGAAGCACTCAAATTGCGGTATAAAACGAAAATTTCGTACTTTAGAAAAAGGACAGTATTTGATACATTGAAACAAGAAGATGAGGAGTGTATAACAAAATGGTATACAAGGGTCAGAGAAATGGCTGCAGAATGCAATTTTAAAGACATTGGAGACAGTTAACAGAGTTATGTGAAGAGGACATTAACAAAAGTCTAACCTATTTAATTGAAATTGCTCTGAACAAAGAATCAGTGATAAAAGAGAGAGAAACAATTTATAGGGTTTCACACAAAATAATTAGCAAAGATAAACAGAAAACTACAAAAGATCCAAGTTTCAATAACAAAGAATTAAAGTATATTAATTGTGGCAAGAGTTATAATTCATTTGTAAGATGCAAATATAAGACTTATACATTCAAAAAATGTGCCAAAACAGGTCATTTAGCAGCAGTGTGTAAAAAGAAACTTTTAAATGTTGTTGATATTAACAGCGAGAAAGAAAATTTAAACGGAATGGATGTTTTTAATGTGGACAAGTCACAAAAACAGGTAAATTTTATTTCACCATTTCTAATAAAATGTAAAGTGAACAACATATTGATATGCATGGAATAAGACAGTGGAGCGGCTATTTCCTGTATTCCAGAGACAGCGTATAGACAAAATTTTTCTCAATATAATTTAATACACACTGATATAGAATCGAAAACTTACTGTGGACAGATTGTAAAGCCAATAGGAAAAATATCAGTTTCTATCAATTGAGTCATATAGAAGCAAAGACAGCAATATCCACTTTTTTCAATATGGCAACTGTGAATGCAGTCTCATAGAGAAATGTCAACATATTTGGGTAGAACCTTTAAATTGATGCAAAATCAACAACATCCAATATTAAACCGCATTTGAAAATACAGGTAAGTAGCAATAACAGCATTATCCTAAGTGATTGACGCAAAAGCAGCATTATCCTTTTTGACCAATCAGGTGCCGCTAAATGGACGCCACCAATATGGCGATTTCTTCCATTTTTTCATCGCGTGTGTTTATGTTTGTGCTTCGTTTTTAAATAAAAACTGAATAAAATAGTTCAAAAACATATATAAAGCAAATATGGAATCTTTTCCTAGTCCCTGCGATAAAGGGAACGGTCGAAAAAGAAAAGGGGATCCTGAAAAATGGAAGAGAAACCAAGCCAAGAAAGAGCGGTAAGTTGTAGTGTGATTAACTGAACTTGTTTCTTGAAATTATTAAAAACGTCAGTTTACCCTATTAATATCTTCGATATATTTTTTACATTTGCATTAGCTAGATATTACTTAGAATTTGCATAAGTATAATAATATAATTTTCTAGAGTAGGTATATCTAGAAATATTTTTTTGGAAGTTTTGATTGTTTTTAATCTTTTTTCAATTGGCTGAATAGTGACCCATCTAAGCACTTATTATTTTTGTATTTGTTTTCATTAATAGTAGATATTGTCTGATACATTGATGTTTAGATATGCACAATCAATTGGTGTAGAGTTGACGTTCTGTAAAGGTTATGTAAATGTAACTTACACTGAATAAAATCCATTTTGACTTTTGAATAATAAATAATTACTTATAATTGGTTATTTTGCTTCAGGTATTCTGCAAAAACACTGCCCAAAAGATTGTTGTGTAATCATAAAAAATCTTTTAAATGTATGTCATTGAAAATGAGCGATATTAAATTGTTTTTTGACAACTTTTACGCACAACCTGATAAATTAAAACAGGACGCTATTATTTTAAAACAGTGCGTTCCTAAAGAAGTAAGACGTCGGCGTTCTACTATAAATAAATATTCAGAGCAAAAATTCCAGACAAAATATTACATTTACAGCAAATCAGAGAAAAAGAACGTCCAAGTATGTCAAAAATTTTTTTTTACGATATTGCAAATAAAGAAGTATATATAGAGTGCAGAATGTTATGAAAGAATATTTTAATACAGGAAAACTTGTAACTGAGAAGAGAGGAGGCGACCATGTGTCAATGAAAAGTGCCCATAAAAAAGAGGCTGTCATGAAATTTATCAACTCAATTCCATGTCAAGAGCCTCACTACTGTCGTGGTCATACAAAACGTTATTATTTGGCATCTGAATTGTCTATTAATAAACTATGGAAGCAGTACAATTTACAAGCAACTCCTGATATTAAAGTGAAAAAGTCCTATTTTCGTCACACATTCAACACAAATTACAATCTTGGGTTTGGGAGCCCAAGGACAGACGTTTGTGCAACGTGTCTCAAATTTTCATCCGAATTGAAACGTGAAAAAGATGCTGACGCTCTAAACAAACTCATGATAGGCCAACGATTGCACAAATTGCGAGCTAAGGCATTTTTCGACAAACTTAAAGAAGAAGATCCAAAACTGAAGATATTTTCTTTTGACTGCGAAAAAAATCTGTATTTACTTAAAGTTCCTGACCAAATTGCATATTATCTAAGAAATATTTACTTATACAACTTCACAATAGTGGAGGGCACTTCTAAAAGCAAACTGACCCAAGACAATGTTCACGCATATTGTTGGACAGAGAACACTTTCCCCAAAGCCGCTAATGAAATTGCGTCGGCTGTTTACCACCGTTTAAGAAATAGTGATCTATCGTCATGTGAGACGATAAGACTGGTAGCAGATGGATGTGCTGGCCAGAATAAGAATACGATTTTATTGGCAATGCTATCAAAATGGATGACCGAAGCACCACAAAATATAAAACAAATAGAGCTGGTTTTCCCTGTAGTTGAACATTCCTACATACCACCAGACAGAGTTTTTGCTAGGATTGAGAAAGAAGTACGTCAGCACGAAGTACTTAATAATCCTCAAAAGTATCTAGAAATTATTTCTAAATTTAGTACTGTACATAACCTGGGAACGGCTTCTTGTGAAGTTTTTGATTGGAAAACTGCTTCACAGTATGTAATGAAACCCGTTGGTAGTTGGCACTTCCAATTTAAAAAATGTGCTCAAACGACGTATCTGAAAAAAAACGTAAAGATATCCTAACCTTGATTAAAAGTCACTGGGGAGATGAATGGCAGGAAAATGAAGATTTAATATTTTTTAAAGATTTATTACAGAATGAACAAAAAAATCAAGATCAGGACCAAGAAGACTGTGAAAAAGAAGAACTTTGTGAGCCACAAGGAGAAGTAGATGATATGCATTGTCGTAACTAACCTTTGGTATCGTTTTCATTCCTTAGATTCATATCACTAATTTTGCTCATATCGATAAACTTTTTAGTGTTTTCCAATTATATTCTTTACTTTCTCCATTCTATAACTGTGGTCCTTCAATTTTATATCTGTAACCATTAAAATTCTGTAATATAAACTTATCCAAACTTCTACGAACTTTCATCCTATGTTTTTGTCTACTTATACTAATGTGAACCCTTACCTGTACTTTTCATTGTTTTTCTTTATACATTTTACCAATTCTAATCATATTAAAGCACTTATTTACAAATTATAACACAAATTATCGCTAATTTTAATTGTTTTGACAGAATTGACATCAAAGTTTTTCTTCGTTGCTACGGTTATATTTGATACTCTTCATGAAAATTGAGTCATTGTTTGTTAGTTTTAGGCATTGAAACTCTGTAGTTTTTGAATTTTTAGGGTTCTAATTTGAAATCATTTACTTCCAAATTTGAGTTCGTCTTCAGGTATAAATAGCCTCGCTCAAATAGTTCTTGATCACTTCAACGGCAACAGTTGCCAAGTTAGCTTTATGGAGCTTATACAGAGCTAGCTAAATTCTTAAAAGGCCTATTTCCCGGGGCCGACTGCCCGGGAACTCTTCAAAGTTACGGTCTCAAAGTCGCATGACATCTTTCTGGCTTTAACTAGACGACAACAAATCAATACTCCACTATAACCTCCTACGCTAATTCACTCCTGGAGGCTGGCTGCGAGTATACGCCTTAGGCCCGAGCTGCTGCTCAGTTCTGGGCTACCGAAGAATCCCCTGTTCGACGCATCGAGACTACGCCTCGCCGATTTACGCTCTCGGTTCTTGGCTGCCGAAGAATCTCCAGTACGACGCATCGAGACTACTCCTCACCGATTTACGCTCTTAGTTCTTGGCTGCAGAAGAATCTCCTGTTCGACGCATCGAGAGACTACGCCTCGCTAAATTTACGCTCGGGATCCAGACGCCCCTCAAGACTGCTGAAGTACTTCATCAACGGAACTTCACCGCTGACCCACGCCCCTTCACCTACAGACACTCTCACTCACACTTCTACACTTTTCACCTCACTAATCACCTCGTCCCTTTTATTTTATTTTTTTGTTTAATGTAAATAAATTATTTAATTTGATTTATCATCTTTTAGTTCTTTTTATATCTTGTTTCATAACAGCATTTGTAATTATATATTTTAATCTAGAAACCAATGCTGTAATTGAAACCTACAAGTGCTGTGATTGATACCTACATAATAAATAAATAGATTATGACAAACAAGAGGTTTTTTTCATCACTTATTTTATTTATTTATGTGACATTTAAATACCTAATAATATTTAATAAAAAAATAAGTTTGTTTTATGATACAGTTTTTTTATAAATCACTATTATTCACCCTAATTTTGTTTTGATATAGCTAGTATCAAGACTATTAGTACACTTACACTCCAATATGCGACCATTGCAAATTCAGCAATATCCAAATATAATTGATGCAAAAACAGCAACATTTATAGATTAGATGCAAAAACAGCATCATCCAAAATAATATTTCTAATAATCTGAAATCCAAAGATCTATCAGAATATCTGTTTTAAGTACGGTGATTGTTATGACATATTTTATCCATAAATGGAACTAAAAATGTTTCAACGCAAAAACATGACATGTAAATAAAAAAAATCTTCTGTACGGTTTTCATTGAAAGTGGATATTGCTGCCTTTGCTTCTATATGACTCAATTATAAGGGCAAGACGGCTAAAGGTCATTTATTTGTTGTAAAGAAAGGGACTAAGTGTTTATTTGATTTCTTTCATACTTCACCTAACATAAAACCGTCGTACATAACCGTCAATTATTGAGTTTGTTATCACTCTTGACAATAGGCTTCTTTTAAGAGTTGTCAACCGCTCCTGGCAATGAGACTTGATTCAGCGTAAATACCTAAATGCGGAAGGGCGTTTCTAGAGGTTAGTGCGGTAGGGCACAAAACAAATAATAAAAAGTATCTATAACAGAGTAGACTCAATTTTAAAATGGGTATGAGAATGTAACAGTTATGAAGATTTTGAGTTCAGATTTGTAGACATTAAATTAAGTATTTTGATTTAATTAAAAAAATAAATTATTTAGGTAACAGAACTTACATATACGAGTTGTTAAAAACAAGGTAAGTTTATTTTGTAAATATCTGCGATGGGTCAGTGTTGCATAGTACGTAAATTTACAAATAGGTTAACAAGAATAAGGTAGTTCACAAAATATATACCTGCGTTAAAAAATAAAAATATTATGGATGACAACAAAATGGCGTCACGTGCATATTGCCAAAAGTATAACCCCTCATGCTGCTACTGTAGCCATACCCCTTTGGAGTGCCAATAACCTTACTCATCAACAGAAACACAGCACTACCGTAAAGTAGTGTTATTTCACTGTGGTTTTCTGGAAGGTGGAGGAGTCCTTCCCCGACTCAGGCGTCTCCTATTCGAGTGGATAAACCACTGTGTCCTACCTCTTTTAGATTAGTAATTCTATTAATTCGTTGATAAATATGGTGAAGTAGCGTCTAAGTTCAATCAAACATAACATCAATCAAACATACTTTATCGTATGTAGATTTAAAACTACTCAAATTGTTTTGTGATTTTAAAAAGGACTCTCGAACTTCTTTTATATCATCTGTAGGACTTAAAGGTTTAGTAGATATTGGACCTATTCGCAAAATGGCCTACGCCAAAAAATTCTTGAAATGACCTATTCTTTAATAGCTCTTTTCGAATGAGGTGTTATTCATTCTGCGAAAGACTCATTTCTACAATGCCTTATTCGTGAAATGACCTATTCTTATAAGGACTGACTTTTTATAATTCCTATTAGCTTTAAGTTTAACAGCAAATAATTAGTAAGTATAAGGTAATAAATGATTTATATAAGCTTTTTTTTATGTTTTCGGCATACAGCCAATAATAATTATTTGATGATTAGTTTTGAATTCATAGACTTTTCATATCATTTTAATGTTATGACGCTAAATTAATTTATCAATAGTCGAGTTCATTTGACTTTGCCGGTTGGTTGTTTATTGACTGAATCAAAAGCTAGTTCCATGATTTTAGCACAGATGTCGTTGATGTCACGACTGCCTTATTCTATTATATATTGAAATTGTAACGCTGATTTTTTTGAAAAATATATGTAAAGAAAAAGTATTTCTTTAATATTTAAATATAGATAGTATGTAGTGCATAAAAACTCTTTGGTTTTCTAATACTGGTAATTTATAGATGTCAAATTATTAAAAAGCTTACATATTAAAAAGTGTGTAATGTCAAACAAATAAATTATAAATATTATTAAAAATACATATTTTCAATAGGATTGGATAAAAAATAACTTTAAATGTCGTTTCTTTATTTTCAGTCGCATAATATAGCATACATAGGAATTTTAATAAGTGTAATTAAGGTTTAAGTAGTAATATAATTTGTTTTTGTTACTAACAATTAAAATTATATTTTCAGAGCAACACATTGAGTTGACATTGTCAATCCTTTTTGTTGAGCCATTAACTTATATACAGCGTGTTTGGTAATACATGTATAATCCCGAAACATGGACATACAACTTAGCACAAAGAACATAATTAATATGTCAAAAAACAATTTCTCGTAAATTGAGATTTTCATACAAATATTTGAACAATTTGTTTTCAATTAATATGCTACAACCCTGAAAGCTTACACGTGCCGTTCCGGCGTCCTCACTCTCTCTCTCTCGCTCTCTCTCAATACCTCTCACTCTCTCTCGTGTCCTAGAATATACTTTGATGTCGCCGACGCGCGCACTTGGCTGCGTATGAGTTTACTTGTAATTAAAACAATTTAAGATTAAACAGGAACATACCTAGAGGCAGCGTTCTAATCACTCTCTCAGCTCTCACTTGTCAATATTACCTACACTTCACCTCCACTTTATCAGTCCAAGGTCTCGATATGCCGGCCACCGCATAAAACACACATCTCCATTCAATTCGACACAGACCGTGTTACTCTCGGCGTAAAAGCATATCCCCTCTCGATGGAATAGGCGTTCGGCCGGCCTTCCTGTATCACACTATGGAATGAATCAGTTGTATGTAACCGATTCACAAGTGCCGCGAAGCACTGTTAAGAAGGAAGACGTCGAGGGTTTTCAGATCTGCCTGACACGTGGCGCTCGTCATAAAGCCGCCGACCCGCAGCAAGATTACCGTCACAAGCACCAACACACAATATCATCTCGTAATATTAGGCATTTGAGTACGAACTCATTGCACTGACCGCACACAAACACAACACACAGGTAAACAGAACGAGTATGAAAAACAAACCAAAAGTCCCGAAAGAACGAAAACGTAAGTTGACCTTCTAAATTCTGAAAACTCACAAGTACACCGATGAAAGTCTCCGACGCGACTGAAGCGATGACCAAAACTACATAGGTAATTATTGCAACTCGAACACCAATGTACCTAAGTACGAAGGTACCTAAATCAAAACTGCACCGATTTAGGGTTCCGCGTCATCAAATTCTTTGTTAGATAACCTACCTAACAAAAAATCATTATTTTATTATTTAATTAAACAATGAAATTTCAATGTAACTTATTATACTATTTTTTTACTAACGAAATTAATAATTAGGCTGTTTACTTATTATTACATTTTTTTTACGCTTTTCACGGTTACAAAAGAAAAAAAAGCCATAATATTAAAAGTGGTTACCTAATTTAAGACCAAGTTATTAACAAAATTATAAGGCATAA